TTGATTTGTTTAAAAATTTATAAATTTAATCTATGCATTAAGAACTTTAAATTGAATGGTTGAATTGTTAAAATGTAATGTAAAACATGAATATTATTAAACAGAATAACTCTAAGTAGACTTACTCCTAAAATAAATAGATCTTTAAATATATATATATATATATATATATATATATATAATACAAATAGCATGTCAAAAAAATTATATATTAATATGACAGTAACTTATTAAGTCTAAAAAATAAGTTATTAAGAGACATTATATTCTACAACAATTCTTTTAAAAATCTAAAATCCTCCTTTCATTTTTCTATTTTTATTAAGATTTTTTTTTCTTTTCTATTATGCAAAGGTTAAGTAAGGAGAGACGAGAACGATTCTCTTCCTTTTGTTTATGTTTTTATCAAGGCATTTTTTTTTATAAAAAAAATCTCAAATCATCTATTCTTTGTTTCTAATTTTATCAAGATTTTTTTTAAATCTTAAATTCTCCCTTTTTTTGTTTCTATTCTTATTGAGATTTCTTCTTCTTCTTCTTCTTCTTTAAAAAACATCTCAAATCCTTCCTTCTTTATTTTTTTTAAAAAAATCTTGAATCCGCATATTGGATATTGTGCATTGAGATGGAGACATATTCATTTGCAAATGTTCGTGATGGAAACACATTAGGTTTATAGGTGTACAAGATAGAGATGTGTTCGATTTGTATGGACACATTCCGTTAAAGTGTCTGAGGTGTTCACAGTGTGTCCACATTAAAAAGTGTCGGACGCAGAGATACGAGAGTCTCATGCTATGTCCATGAACCATAGATTGGAGTGTCATCTCCAATTTACCATTTTCAATGATAAAAAAACAAATTTTGATCTTTCCTGAAAAACACAATTCTTAAGATTTATGATTTCCATGAATAGCGATATTTGAATATAAAAAAATATTTTTCGTTTATCAAACGTCCTTTACTTACTTGTTTAATTTATAATAAAAAATTATTACCAAATAACACTTTCAAAACATTTATAACCCATGAAAGAAAATTTAATCATCACTAAGAATAAGAATAGGGATGATAACGGGGTCTCATGGGGTGAGTAGTAAGATATCCTTCCTCGTCCCATCAATTAAAAATTTGTCACATACATGTGTGAATTTTTTTTAAAATTACAAAAAATACTATTATAATTTTTAACTTATATTTGATGATAATTATATTAAAATATTAAAGATAAACAATTAATATTAATTTTTTGAACATGTAATTAATATATTTTTTTTGAAATATTAAAAATAATGTAAAAATATAAGATAAAAATATGAATTTTAAGTAATATTATTTAATGGACACCCACGAATATAAATACTACTATACTCATCCTGTCGTATTTATAAATGGATAAAAAATATCTGTATCCATTATTTACGAGTATCCACTTAGATTATCCATTTATTATTTATGGATAAATTTTATCCGCATATATCCACACATACGAATAATTTTGTTATCCCAAAATAATAATCTATGAACACCCGTGATAAACAAATTTCCAACTGAGCGTCCAACGTGCAATTCCAAAAGATCACACAACTCTCATTCCACAGCTTATACCCCGAGTGCACGAAATCTGCAAGTTAGTTACTCTAAGCATCGTGCTTTTCCTCCTTTTCCATAATTGCGTGTAGTCAGTGACATGATTTTGTTCCTCTTAACAGATTTTGTTGCATCATAACGTGTCCATGACCAATCACTCTGACTTGCCTTCCACCTCATCATGCTTACTAACAAATCACCTATTTTTTTTTTTAAATATAAATATAAATATCTCAACAGCAATAACAGTCACAAAACTTTTACACGAAAAAAAATCTTATCTACAGCTTTCACAATAGGTGACGTATCTCACTAAAATATGCACACATTTACAAAAGTTTTGCTTTAGGTCACTTTTTCTCGTACATGATACGGCATTTAAAATTTGATATGCCCTGTGTCCATTAGACTCCCACATCGATCATCCACCCAAACCACCTTCTATATAAGTGCTGGTTGGGTGAAGGGATCAAGGTGCAAAATGCGTGCGGAGAAGAAAAATGGGTCTTTTCGATCAATTTTCATGCATGCTGATACATTGGATTGGTTTTACATGGTTTTGGGTACGTTTGGTGCCATTGGTGATGGCTTCACCACCCCTATCACCATGTACATCTTGAGTGGAATCATGAACAACATTGGTGATGCTTCCAAAAAGACACCAACTACTTTCATCCACAACGTTAATAAGGTTACATATTTTCTCTCTCTAGCTACCTCAACTCATGCAGTGTGTGGCTTATTGGGTTTAGCTTTATGATCAATTTGATGCAGTATTCAGTGATATTGTCCTACTTGGCTAGTGCGGCCTTTTTTGCTTCCTTCCTTGGTGAGTTTCGATTTTTGTATCATTTTAATTTTAGGTAAATAAATTGTTTATGTTGAAGAAAAATTACTCAAGAAGTGTTAGTTTCAGTTCTAATCTTGGAAATGTGATGGTTGAAATATTTATTTTCACGTTGTTTGAACGTCATGTAACAACATTTCTAATTTAGAAAAGTTATGTGAATTATATTCGCACGAGGAAAAGAGTTTTATTCCGATGCCAAAAGAGTGTGTATGTGATATTTTCAAGGGAATATTAGAAGTTATTTCGTATAACTTTTGTAAATTCTATTTTTATTCAAAATTAAAAATAAATAAATTTTAGAGAATATTTTTAAAAATATTAAAATAAACAAAACACCTTTCTTATATTCACACAAATAGAATTTTGGGTTATATTATTTGTAGGAATATGATTCTCAAAATTTCAAGAATATAACATCTTTTGATGAAACAAATGCTCTTTAGATACTATAGATACTATTTTTATCTCGAAATTTCAAGAATATAACATTTTTCGGTGAAACAAATGCTCTTTAGACACTATAGGTACTATTTTTATGCAAAATTTTATTAAACAAGTAAACTTAGTTGTTATTCACATGTACATTATCTTGATCATATTAGTTATCATAAAATCTTCATCATACCCCATTAACATTGAGGCGCACCCCATCACATTGAGTACTAATATGATAATGAGTGGTAGGTAGGCTCATTATTAATCGTTAAAATAAACTTTGATAAAATGAATGTGAGTTTAAGTCTAATTCAATTTTACATAACTAATTTTTATATATTATATTCGAAGTAGGATTTCTAACAAGGTTTCTAATTATATTAAAATAAATTAATCTAAATATGTATGTTTTATCCACCCTGTCTCCCTCCACCAGCAGCACTAGAAGGTTGCCTAATGACAGGACCCCCTTGTTGTGGTTGGGGCCTATCATACGGCTTCCTTTGATTCCCTTCTTTCTTGGACCCAGCTGGTCCTTCAGCAATCTTCACTCCACGGTTACCACCTTCCAACTGCTCAACAACCTTTGCCTTCTCCACTAAGACTGGAAACTCAGTGATGGCCATAGGCACCACCACCCTCTTCAGCTCATATTTCAGACCCTCAACAAACTTCCAGCATTTCCAGGCCTCAGCTATACCTTGCGAATAGAAACGAGCCAGGTGCTCGAATCTCATCGCATACTCAGAAACTGTCATCCCTCCTTGGTGTAACCGCATGAACTCAGCTTCCTTGGCATGCCTCACACTCTCAGTGAGCTGGGCTGTGATTGATGATTTTTTTTAAAATGCTGAATGGTAGTAAGCTGGGTTTAGTACTACTTGGTTGTGTTGTATGCTATTTTGCTGTGATGTATTGTGAGCTGTGTTAGCTGAGCTGTGTGATGTTATTAGCCACTATTGTGGTGCTGTTATAGCCGCTATGTCGGTGCTGTTATTAGCCATTATTGTGGTGCTGTTATAGCCGCTATGTCAGTGCTGTTATTAGCCACTATTGTGGTGTTGTTATAGTCACTATGTCGGTGCTGTTATTAGCCACTATTGTGGTGCTCTTATAGCCACTATGTCGGTGATGTTATTAGCCACTATTGTGGTGCTGTTATTACTACTAAGCAGTGCTGATATTGTTGAATGTTGTGGTGTAGTATAAGCTGTGCTGGTGTGCTGATAGCTGTAGTTGTTTTCTATCATATTGCCATATATGTATATTGATTTCTTTTCACTATCTTACCCTTTGTTGTCTCTATGATGTTTGGACTGCAATGATCATACTATGTATGGGAGCAGAGCAGGGATAGGTTGGTGGCTGATGGTGAGTCTGTAGCTCACAGACGAAGCTGGTCTTTTAGGATCTTTTGTTGTTTTAGCTACTTAGTGTAGTAGTCTTGGATGTATTTTGTACACTTTAACTCTATCCAGATTTGGATCATGTATATGTATATATTCTAGACCCTATATGTATACACTTGTTCCTTTCTGTGTAGTGTTTCTAGTGTGTTGTGTCGGGGGTAGTGACCAGCTGGGTCGTTACACTTTAGTGGTATTAGAGCCAGGTTCGAGTCTAGCGGACCCTCTGTGGGGGTGGTTCCTTTAGGCTTTGTTGTGCTGATCTGTGTTGTGCTGTCTTGTTGTGTTGTTTGTTGTGCTGATTGCTGTGATGTTTTGCTGTGTTGTTGATTGTGGTTTGGTTTAGTTATTGTATACTAAAGATGCTGTTACTTTTGTAGACAATGACTAGAACCAACGAGCAGATAGCCCGAGCCATGGAGATGATGGCTATGGCTATGCAACAGCAAAATGCCTATTTTGCTAGAGCGGAGGCTGATAGGGTTGAAGCTGGTGCAGCAAGGCCCACGGGGTGACAGGAGAGTCGGGACCTAGCTGAGTTCCGGAAGTGTCATCCTCCTTAATTCAAGGGAGATGCAGATCCAGAGGTGGCTGACCACTAGATTTGTGAGCTGGAGAAAATCTTTACCGTGCTGGGATGTTCTCAAGAAAGGAGGCTGGCATATGCTGTGTACATGCTGGTTGGAGAGGCCGAGCATTAGTGGAGGGGTACCCATCACATGTTGACCGTTAGAGGAGTGGTTGTTGATTGGGAATGCTTCAGGAGGGTGTTCTTGGAGAAGTATTTCCCTGAGAGTGTGAGGCATGCCAAGGAAGCTGAGTTCATGCGGTTACACCAAGGAGGGATGACAGTTTCTGAGTATGCGATGAGATTCGAGCACCTGGCTCGTTTCTATTCGCAAGGTATAGCTGAGGCCTGGAAATGCTGGAAGTTTGTTGAGGGTCTGAAATATGAGCTGAAGAGGGTGGTGGTGCCTATGGCCATCACTGAGTTTCCAGTCTTAGTGGAGAAGGCAAAGGTTGTTGAGCAGTTGGAAGGTGGTAACCGTGGAGTGAAGATTGCTGAAGGACCAGCTGGGTCCAAGCAAGAAGGGAATCAAAGGAAGCCGTATGATAGGCCCCAACCACAACAAGGGGGTCCTGTCATTAGGCACAAAAGTCAACATATTCTAAGTCATTCCATTTCTTCAAAATCAACGGGTCAATCTTCTCTTGTTGATGGTGATAGTGTTGAAAAAGTTAGTGATGATAAAAAACACACATCTCCTTCGTTTTGGAAATTGTTAGCCTTGAATCTCCCTGAGTGGAAACAAGCTTGTTTGGGGTGTTTGAGTGCAGTTTTTTTTGGAGCAATTGAGCCAATGTATGCATTTTCAATGGGGTCCATGATATCAATTTTTTTCCTCACGGATCATGATGAGATTAAAAGGAAAATTGCAACCTATTGCATATTTTTTGCGGGGTTGACTGTGTTTCAATTGGTTGTTAATATCGTCCAACATTACAATTTGGCTTACATGGGAGAATACTTGACCAAAAGGGTCAAAGAGAGAATGCTTGCCAAGATACTCAGTTTTGAAGTTGCATGGTTCGATCAAGATGAAAATTCCACAGGTGTTGTTTGCTCTAGACTATCTACAGAAGCTAATATAGTAAGTTCTTGTTTTCATCTAAACATACCATGCAATGTTGCATATTACTTCACTCTTTTTTATCAATGACGAAAATGAAATAATTAAAGTAGGATTTAGAAAACTACAATTACAAAATGTGATGTTTATAAAAACTTAAAATCAATTGATGTTATATCTCGAGAAGATGTTTTTCCCTTGTTTATCCTTTTTCCCCCCTTTTTATTTTACATATTAGTCAAACTCTATAAACAAAGTGATATTTTTATAAACTTAAACATGTTTTTAGTCTTTTAAATGTGAGGTGTATTTATTTTTCACCTCTTAAATTTAAAACGGAAAATTACAATCACCTCCCCCTTTATATTATGCCAATCATATATGCGTCTATCTTTCATTTTTGAGTCATGTATAATGTTGTGTCTTTTTTATGAAAATTTTAATTGTTCTTTAATTTTAAAAATAATAATTTTTTGGTCCATTTTTTAAAATTGTTTTTTGAAGGTATATTTTTTAAATCACAACACATGATATTTAGGATATCATTTTGGAGTTAAAATTTAGTAAGAGATTAAGTCTCATTCAATTGTTGACACTTACGTTAATAATTTGTTCTCATTTAATAGTACAAAAATGATATTGTCTTATATAAGAGGTTATATGTATAGCTTAGATAAATAAATAAGGGAGGTTAATATTCACTTAAAAATTAGAGGGAAGGTGTATGTCATTTAAAAATATCTCAGAGAAGGTCAGGACAATTTTTCCAATTTAAAAGTGAGTTTTTTAGTCCATATAATCTTAAAGAAATGTTATTTTAGTTCACTTACTCAAATAAGTCTATCAATTGACCACTAGGGTTAGCCTAGTGGTTGGGTGGGGAGGGGTTGGGGTAGTTAGAAGCATGAGGACCTAGGTTCAATCCTCATTGTGACCATCTTTGTAATCTTTCCTATCTTTACCAAAAAATAAGTCTATCAATTAAAATCCATTTATTACTATTTTTTGCACAAAATTTACTTGCTAGTTTCCTTGTTTGTTAATGAAAAAATCTCATTAAATTCATTTGATATTACATAACTATTTTAATTTATCAGTGTTATTTGTGTTATTAATGACCTTGAGTAAACAAGATTTTTTAAGATTATAAAATTTAAAAAGATCAATTTTAAAATTGAGGGACTAAAAATATATTTATCTTAAATTTAAGAAATTAAAACCATATATTTAAGCATATTTTTATAACTTTTATTTTATGTTATCGTGATTGACATTTTTGTTGGGTCTTATCCCTTGTTAGTTTTGCTTTGAGTACTTTATTGTCAATTGTGATTGTGATTCATCTTTTAGTTCTAATTTTGAAACTTCTATGCTAATTATGGCATTTTATAATTTACAGGTGAGGTCTTTAGTGGGAGATAGAATGTCTTTGTTGCTACAAACTACCTCCGCCGTGGTAATAGCATGCACTGTGAGCCTAATCATTGCATGGAGATTTGCCATTGTATTGATAATTGTTCAACCTATATCCATTGCAAGTTTCTACACAAGAATTGTAATCCTAAAGGGCTTGTCTAAAAAGGCCATCAAAGCCCAAGATGAAAGTAGCAAAATAGCAGTTGAAGCTATTTCCAACCTTCGAACCATCACTTCCTTTTCCTCACAAGACCGAGTCATAAAAATGCTACAAAAAGCCCAAGAGGGCCCAAGCCATGAAAGCATTCGACAGTCATGGTTTGCTGGCATTGGGCTTGGATGTGCCCGAAGCCTTACAACTTTCAGTCGGGCTTTAGAATATTGGTATGGCGGAAATCTTGTTTACCATGGCCACATTACTTCAAAAGCATTGTTTGAGACCAATTTAATAATGGCAAATACTGGTAGGATGATAGCAGATGCTAGTAGTCTCACTAGTGACCTTGCTAAAGGAGCAAATGCCATTGGCCTAGTTTTCACAATCTTAGATAGAAACACAAAAATAGAGGCTGATGAAATGAGTGCATACAAGCCCCAAAAGTTAATAGGCCATATAGAACTCCAAAATGTTTATTTTGCATACCCATCAAGACCCAATGTGATGATCTTCCAAGACTTCTCCATCAAAATTGATGCAGGCAAATCCACAGCATTGGTAGGGGGAAGTGGGTCTGGAAAATCAACTATAATGGGCTTAATAGAGAGATTTTATGACCCACTTAAAGGGATAGTGACTATGGATGGTAGAGACATAAAGTCATATAACCTTAAGTCACTAAGGAACTACATTGCACTTGTGAGCCAAGAGCCAACACTTTTTAATGGGACCATAAGGGAAAACATTGCATATGGAGCATTTGATAAGACTAATGAAGTTGAGATCATTGAAGCAGCAAAGATAGCTAATGCTCATGACTTTATTGCAAGCATGAAGGATGGTTATGACACATGGTGTGGAGATAGAGGAGTGCAGTTATCTGGGGGCCAAAAGCAAAGGATTGCAATAGCCAGGGCTGTGTTGAAGAACCCAAAAGTGTTACTTTTGGATGAGGCCACCAGTGCACTTGATAGTCAATCCGAGAATGTAGTTCAAGATGCTTTGGAGAAAGTAATGGTAGGAAGGACCAGTGTGGTTGTGGCTCATAGGTTGAGCACCGTAAGGAATTGTAATCGAATTTTTGTATTGGATAAAGGAAGGGTTGTAGAAGAAGGGACTCATTCCTCTTTGTTGGCTAAGGGACCAAGTGGAAATTACTATTCTTTGGTCAGTCTTCAAAGAAATGCAACAACAACCACTAGTGCAACTGATATCGAATACTAACTAATCCTAATTAATTTGACAATTTGAGATTATTATTTGATCTTGTTTTGGTTTTGAGTCAAGTTATATTTTTGCTTTTTTTTTTACTATGGAAAAGGAAGTTAAAAAGATATATATCTTGTGCTCCCTCCGACCACGAACACATGAGCATGCACACACTCTCACCTACGTACACATAGACACACTCACACATGGTGGTGGCTCATAGGATAAGCATTATAAGAAATTGGGATCGAATTGTTGCGTCGGATAAAGGGAGGGTTGTAGAAGAATGGACATGTTCCTCTTTGTTAGCTAAGGGATTTAGTGGAATTTATTGCTCTTTGGTGAGTCTTCAAAGAAATGAAACAACCACAAGTGCTAATGATAATGAATACTAACTAACTAATCCAAATCAAGTCAAGTTATTTAATTTGTCAATTTGAGATTATTAGTTGATCTTCTTTTGATTTTAATTAGTTGCAGGTAATATTTTTTAACTATTAAAAATGATGTTATAATATATATATATATATATATATATATATATATTTCTCATAAATGATTAGACCAAGTGATTGTCACTTGCAAATTAATTTGTTGAAGACGACCTCTAGATATATATGAAATATGAGTGAACGCATGGTGGATAATGTTGTACATTTTGATGTTTGTGATTATTGTTGTTGCAGTAGACTATATAATATATCATTATCATGAACTATGAAGTGCTATCGAATCTGCGAATTAGATTGTTAACGAACAAAATATCTTATGAGGTTGATACGTATAACTTTATAGTTTATACTTTTAAGGATTTATTAACGATGAGCAAGTTTTTCAACATTTAAGAGCTTCTCCCAAGTTTGATATTGCTGGGTGCATGGAGATCAATATTGTTTGGTGAAGTGATACTGATTTAAGAGGGGTTTTTTTTTCTTTTCTTTTTTCTCTACATTATTTCCAAAATGGTTGCTCCAATATTTTAGGCAATGCTTGGTGATACTGACTTTAAGATCTTGAAGTTTGGAGTGACCTTAAGAATAAATTGTCCCTAAATTCATATTACTTGGTAGAAGCTACATCAATTTTAAAAACTTGAAGGCCAGAATGACCTCTAGAGAGTAATTTTGTTTGTCGTATTGTTGTTGATATGAAGAGTTTTCACATCATGAAGATCGAATACAGGATTTCATTTAAATTTATTTACATTTGAATAAAAATTATTCATAGAAAATATAAAAATAATTATACAATAAATATTTATTCTCATTAAATATGTATTTTAATTGTTATAAGTTTTAAAAAATTTGATTAAAATAATCAATACAAATATGATTAACTAATATAATTATTAATTTTATATAATTAATATTATAAATATTTGTATTTAGGATTAACCATTTAATTAAACAAATCTTCGAAGATATATCTATTCATTTAATTA